GTAATGCCCAAAATTATGTTGCTACAATTAATGCTATGACAAACTGATATGCTACAATTAATGATATGCCAAACAAAATAAGTCATACTAAACTGATAAATTGTGTTAAAATTTTTCACATAATCTTTATAAACTGTGTTAGAATTACACATAAACTTGTTAGAATTATATATAAACTGTGTTAAAATTACACACAAAGTTGCTACATACTCCTACTCCTAATACAACTTAATGAAAAATACACATAACATTACAAAACATATAATCTTCAATATTTTTTCCACTTCAACATCTTGTTCAGTTGAATTTGAAGTTATAACACAACATCCCCTAATTCTTCATTTCTAACCCTCAATTTTTTGTACTGATTCTTGGTTTCATCTAAATCCTTTGCTATGTTTTCCAATATATTAATCAATACTTGGTTTATGTATTCTGCCAATTCCTCATGAAACCAATCGAAGAAGACACATCCTCTTTGCAAGGATCCCTGCAAATTTCAAAAATTGATCAAACTCTGTTTACCATCTTTTAACATACCCAAACAAAAATTAGGGCTTACCTTGTAATTGTGACAACCCAAAAATTTCTTTTCATAATTCTTCTTTGTGGTTGCCCTACAAAGAACAACATTGTCTCCACAACAGCAAAGTGGTACAATTTACGAGCTACTGTATACACATGACCCAACACTTTCAGATTTCTTCAGGTTCGTTTGGGAAGATGAATGCTTCATATTCATGGAGAAAGGTCCGAAATGATTATAGGTTGGTTCTTTGTTTTGGGAATGTTGGGAATGTAAGAAGATGGTGGCTACAAAGATGAAGAACGTAAAGAAGATTTTGGGAATGAGATTTTGCAGCAACTCAAGGCACTACACGAAGATGATGAACGTGTGGTGAAGAATGCATAGTGAATATAAAGAAGATGATGAAATCTGCCAGCTCACCTGCCACACAACAAAAATAAACGGACGTTGAAGGCCAATTGACGGAATGGACTTGTTTGAATCTTTTAGAAAATTAAAGGACCAATTTGGCACAGAAAAAATATAAGGGACCAAAGTGAATCATGGCCTATAGTTAAGGGACCAAAATGAGTATTTTGCCAAAAAGATACATGAATTTAGAGATGGAAATTGGTCTTCATTAGAGAGAAACCATCAATCCTTGCTCCTTGAACTCTTGAAACCGTCAAATTCTCTCTAAAACTTGATATAAATCATACTTGAACCCTTCTCTTACTTATCTTTAAATAGTAGTCGATATTGAAATTTTAGGGTTGAAAAAAAAAACTCAATACACAATTCAACATTGTAACATCGTCAGATTTTTTACTTGCTATTTTTTGTCTATTTATATTAGGATTTAGACTGACTTATTCATAAAAGTTGTATCCCTGGATGTTAGCTTTAATTTGCAAAAAATGTCTCATCTCAATCAGATTTATGAATCTCTAGATATGATCAAATTACTGGACAAACGTCATGCTGTAAATTATGTTGAAAAAGGTTATTTTCTTCACAATTTCTCCACTTTTTCATTTTTCTCTGCTTTGTTTCCCCACTTCTTCATTTTCTTCTTATTTTTTCATAAAACTTAAACATAATTAACCGAAAAGTAATAAAAACAAGTGCAAAATGATTAATAAAATTACATGATGACAGAGTGCCATTAGCCACCTAGGGACCGTCTTCTTACGATCAAGTATCTCTAACTTATATGATGAAATACCCATTGTTTCTTTTCATGCCCCATGATGCTACTGTACTTGCGTATCACCCACATCATGCAACCACACATGTTGCTGCACACATGGTAGTTTTCCTAGAAGATGTATTGTGTCCCCTTCATCTTTCTATCATTGAAAGATTGTCGCATCACTCTACCATGCATAGATCTGAGACACTCAACCTAATGGTAACATAATTAGGAGTTGATGCGGGTGAGACCCAAAAGGAGACAGAAGGCACTAGAAGGTGTCATGCCAAATTTTCACTTCTAGCAGAAAAATATAGTGACCACTTGATTGTAGATGTTGCGGATGATGATGCACATGTTTCTTACCATAGACAATGTGCATTGAAGACATTACTTTTATCTTGGTTGGCACAACATTTTTTTGGACAGAAGTGAGACCTATGTCAATGTTGTCTATCATAAGTACTTCATGGACTTGAAGCGAATTCACGAGTACATTAGGAACACAACTTATTTGATTTATTTATACTGCAAGTTAGTTGAAGGTAGTAAATAGAAGATGAGACATATGACTCGATGCAACTATCTATTTTATGTAATTGATTTACATGTAATTTATTAATGGCTTGATACCACTTTACCCTCTACAATATAGACGAATTTTAATTTACTCCTGTAAAAAAATTTGGATTACCCCCTGTAGTTTTTTTTTTTTGGTTTACCCCCCAAGCATACAAATTAAACAATAAATCTGGGGGGAAAGGGGGGGGGGGGGGGGGGGGTTAAATAAAAAAGTTTTTTACAGGGAGATAATTTTTGCACTTAGGGAGTAAAATACATGGAATTTTAACATTTCAAGGGGATGATCCAATTTTTTTTACAAGGGGCTAAATCAAAATTCACCTATATTGTAGGGGGTAATTGTATATTTAACCCTTTATTAATTTCATACTACTTGTCCTACATCATTACTGATATTTCACCAGAACCATGTTTAGACATGAATCCTTCTGATATTTCTCAGGTATTGCCTAGTGAGAATATGTTTCTGAATACATTGAAGAATTGTCACGTGCGTGCTCTATTAACCCACTCAGGGAGAATCTGGTGAATGAACCGTATAGACCCGTGACCGTATTCTAGAGGATGGTATTTGTTTCTAATCGTATTGACAACACCGTCCAACATGGCCTATAGAGGTGGTATCATGGTGTTCTGGATGGATGACTTGTGAATATCGACACATGTACTCACATCTACCTGAGCGAATATTGCGACAATTCAAATATCTACAAAGGATACATAAGGACCATATAGTTACTACTCATGCCACTATCCTCCACAGAGATGTTGATATAATATTTGTCGAATACCATGAGCATCTGGGTTGGTATGATATTTGTTGAATACCATGAGCGTCTAGGACAGAGGAAGTACATAGTGTGTCAGCTCCTCGTCTATAGAGTACAATAAATCAATACATCCAATGATTTTGCAGAGTGTCCCATTCTTATATGATATAAGTTCCAGAAGAAGACCCCCTTAGGTCAGCTCACCGAACTGTTGCGATTAAAAGAGATGTCCTAACTAGATAAGAGTTTCAGGAAGACACTCTTAAGAGAGTCACTTTAAATGTGATATTATCATATGCAAAAATTGTACTGTAATATAGGAGGTAAAGGAGGAACAAAGTCGTAAGATATATCCAGTAGTTATATTTTAATTTATATTTTAATGTAAATATTTTTGAATGACTATGTTATGAATTATATATGATTTGTGCAAATTTGCGATGTGTAAATCACTTATGCAAATGATTGATGTGTGCATAACTTATGAAAATTAACTTTTGGTTAGAAACAACATTTGATTTATGAATGATTTATGTTATTCAAACTCTCATTGTAACTTATGCCAACAATGGTACATTAGAAGATTGAAATTTGGATTCACCTTTTATTATCAAATATACGAGAAATGTGAGGTATATCTAGAAATTGGAATTCAAATGCACCTTTTGTTATCAAATATATGAGACATTGTCCCAGGAGTGTAAATGTGTAATCAGACTGGAATCCGAAGTTACCCTACGCATATATACTAAACACACATTTAATATAGCTTCAAATTATTATATTTTAAATGTGTCTGAATTTCAATCTTTAGCATTTTTAAGTGTGTCCGAATTTCAATCTTAAGATGACGCTAAAGGGTGATTTCAAATTTCTATATATAGTAAGAGAGTAGTATATGGAATGTAGTGAACTAATTCTCATAAAACAATTGTGTTATGTTAATTTCACTCATCATAGTGTAATAAAAAAAACTAAATTCTATCAACAGTTTCTCGCGTTATTAATCGACCGCTCTTCATATGATCAAATTGAATCAGATCTTCTCGATAATCTTCTCTCTATATGTTAAAACCACAATCTTTTCTATTATACATAGATGGAAATCAATTGAATAATTGATATTTTCTTTCTCTTCTCATTTCATTTTCCCTTTCCACCCAACATCTTCACAAAACAACAGCAATGCATGTAATGAAGGTCAGTCACTCGTATACTTTGACATGAAAACACATGCAAGGAGGAGGATATAACTAAACATAGGAACAACAAACGAGCATATTCAGGAGGAAGTGTGAAGTTACTCTTTTTCCAACTTCACTTCCAGATGAAGTTCATCATGGAAACCATTTCTAGTTACATACTCTCCCGTAACAATTTATAAGTAAAATTGACTTTTTTTTTTTTGGTACATTTGACAATTAATGTTTCTAGTCCATATATAAATTAAATACATTAATTGTCAAGTGTATAAAAAAAAGTCAAATTTACTTATAAATCGTTGCAGACGGAGTAGTAATAAACTATGAATAAACCCAACAGGATTCAATATATCAGGATACATGACCAATGGTATCAAAAACAAGCATATACAAAAGAAAATTTGTAAAAACAAGCATATACAAAAGAAAATTTGTAAAAACAAGTTGTCTCTAATTTGAGGTTAACTTGTTGCCTCATGCAGAATAGCAAATGATTTCCTATGAAGATGGTGACGGCCTATGAAAGAGTGTCAGAATAATCAACCTCAGGTGAACCAACCTTAGGTGATATATACATAAATATTAACATAAGTATTTACTTTTAATGATATTAACATAAATATTAAATCAAACAATATATGTAATTCAAACTGTTTGTACAAAAAACAGTTGATACCTTTAGAAAACAAATACAGACTGATAGACTCAGGTCAGGTCTCATACGGTTTCACTCCGAGCAATCAGCATCATTCCATTGCTCTATCATTACTTCTAGAATTAGAAGAGCCAAAAGGCCACAAAAAGGAAAAAGGATTTCTCCTTCTTCCACTGCTTCTACTCGAGCTACGGTTACCGCTCGATCCCTGTGGTGGCAATTCTTGACGGCAAACAGGGCAGGTGTTATGCTGAACCAACCACGGTACTATACAATCTGGGTGAAACATATGCTTACATGGCATTTGTTTTGCATCGGAACCCAGCTCAAAGTCATCTTGGCATACCGGACACGATGGATCTGACTGAAGATGCTTCGACGCAATCTTGACAGTAGGAATTGCAGCTATAGAGGACCGCGATGCAGGCGGGGGACCTCGCTGGTCATTAGCCGAAAGCTGTTCAAACAGTTCTGTAACTCCAGGACCAATAAAATAGTCACCTGAGTTATCTCTAGTCACACCAACTCCTGGAGTCCCGTTTAAGAGAGCTTCAATGCCGCCTTGTCTAGAAAACCTGGATGGAATTTGGCCACCATATATTAACAAAGGAGTACTAAACCTTGGACCGTTTTCGGGAACTGAATCCGATCGTGCCCTGATATTTTCAGCCATGATTCCATACCTTTGTCCAAATTCTTCATCGCTGTCCACTCCATGAAAGTCTGGAGGGCTACCATGAACCATATCATCAAGATCTTGAACAAATCCCCCATCACAACCAGAGCAAACCGCACGTCGCCGTCCCAATCGAACCGACTTCATGCAATTATAACACCAATGAGTATCCCTACTACTCGACATTCTCTTGTTCCTTATTTGTCTCAGCTAATTCCAAGACTCTTTCCAGACACACACTGTTGTCTTAACTAACACAATAACATAGTTGCTTTTGCTGCAAAATAAGTAACACAATTCAGATTTAATTCATAAGCTGTTTTCATAAGTTCTTCCAAATAATTTTGCAAAACTTGTTTGCAGATACGTTCAAATAAGTCAATCCAAACACGCCCTAGACAACAATTAGCTAGTTACATAGAGAAATTGTAAATTCTTATTCAAGAGAATGATCTACAAAACTCAATATTACATTTCCCAGATTCAAAAACTACAATATTATCATTACCATAACTGAATTCAAATAAACAACAACTTTTCATAATAATAACAAACTAAATTCCCCAAATTCATTCACACAACGACACCAATCGGTTGAATGAACAAAAACAGAAACATAAATCAAAAACTGAGAAATGAAACATCGTACCTGACACAAATATGGATCTGGTTGTTGTTGTTGTTGTTGTGAGAGTGAAGTGTGAACAGAGAACGGAATGTGGAAAATCTAGATGCAAAAAAAACCCTAACCAGTTACTTACCTTTTTCTTGTTTTTTTACATCGTTTATTTTATTGTTATATTTATATAGTTGTTGTTTTGTCTCTTTGTAACTCGATTGAGTCGAGTGCGATAATATTGTTTATTTATTCAACACACGATGCAGAGAGGAAGAGAATTATTGGGAAAAACACACATGGCAACCGCATGCTCTAAGTTTTTACAGACCATTCATTCATGACCATTTCGGTTTCTATATTGTGTGACATGCTGTCATTATAGTGTCTCTCTACACATGCTCAAATTACAAAAGTGTTTGTAAATGTTATCTATTTCTAACTTTTTTTTTAGGAACATTAAATGATGCTAGTTTTTTAAATGAAAGTAATTAAAGGATTTCATCGATTAACTCATTAAAATGTTCTATAAATTATTTTTTTAGTCAATCTTTTTCTATATAAAAGAATTTTCTCCTCATTTCAAAATACATTAATTTTTTTTTGAGTATAAACTCTTATATTATATCTTTCTCTAATTTATTTTTATAAATTTAGTTTTTCAATAAAGTCGTTTTAATGTCAAAAGAGTGAAAAGTTATCATGAGAGTTATTGTATTGGTGTCGTGCTAAAATTACTTATTCAGGAATGTTGTTATATTGTGATATGTTTGTGTTGAATATGAAGGTCGCAAGTTTAATATGTTAAAAGTTTGGATTTAGGTTTTGTGCTTATCCCATTTAAAAGTTGTGATGTAGGTTTTGAGCTAAGCTTGTGAATATTTATGGTTTTGGTTTTGAATTAAGTCCTTATAAAATCTCTATTTGTTTGTGGAAGGTTGTTGGACAAATCATGTGCAAAAGCTTAAGTTATTGTGAAATGTTTTTAGGTCGATTCTATGAAAATCTCAAATTTATTTTTAGTGTAAATCTCAAAAGAAAACTCTTGAGAAATGAAGTAGGCTAAATAGTTAAGTCAAACTAGTATAATTCTATGGTGTGATATCTCCATCTCTTCTATCTTTATTTTATGTCATTTATATTATTTATATGTTTATCTCGGTGTCTTTTTCCATTCTTTTATTCTAATGTTCTGCCTTTTCTCTCTCCTCTCTTCTTAAAATAAATATTTTAGTATTGAGAATTTTTATAAATCTTTTTTGTTTGAAATTTGATTATTACAATTCACTTCTTTTTTTGTGTTTGGACCTCACTTGGTCGACAAGTGACATCAGAGTCAAACTCTTATTATAAGATTAATCTTGTCGGGAGGTTGTGTGATGATTTAAAACACTTCTATTAACAAGAGGCTTTTCATGAACAAACCTCCATCTTTTTATGGTGAAAGATTTACCATATGAAAATTAAGAATATAAATGTTTTTAGATTCTATTGATTTTGATTTATGAAATTATGTTTTAAATGGTCCTTTAGTTCCTACTTATTATGTTAATAACGAAGTAGTAAACAAACACATAGATACATTGACCACAAAAGAAAAGAAAAAAAGTACAACAAAAATTTAAAGATAAGTACTTGATGATAAGTGCGTTAAGATCTAGATAGAAAAATTATGTTTTTTTTAACTATAACACTACTAAAAAAATGCGGGACATCCTTGAAAAAATCTATGAAATTTCAGCCGAGATGAAAAGAGAAATCATTAAAACACCTGGCCGAGTTGCTAAGACACCAAGTGAAAATGAAGAAAATATTCATAGATGGTTCCCAGGTATTAAAACTCTTTGAATTGATTTCAAAAATTGCATGTCTAACGAGTTTAAGAAATTTAAGAACTAGTATCATAAACCTTACTCAACAAAAAAATCTAGAGAAACAAATATTGTTGATAAATTACAAGGCATGTCAAATAAACCAGAAATCATCAAGAAACTTAAAGAGTTAATCAAATTACTTCAAGATGGAGAGAAGAGCAAAGAAGAAAATTTTAATGAAGAATTATCTTTAGAATCCCTTTAAGTTTCAGATGAAAAATCATTTGAAACATTTTTTAAAGTATAAGATGAAGAATTCTTTGAAATTTCAGATGAATAATTCGTTAAAGCATTAAATGAAGAACTCTTGGGAATATCATAACATGGGAGACTATCTCAAGAATCCTTTGAAATATCAAGTGAATAATTTTGTGGAGTGCTACATAAAAAGTCGTCCAAATATTTTGTTAAAGAATCCTATGAATAAATCGAAACATCATCAAGAGCATCATCTAGAGAAACATCATTTACGAAATCATTTGAAACAACGTTAGCAGAATTATCCGAAGAATCAGTTGAAGCATAACATTATCTAGAGAAACATCCTTAAGAGTATAAGAAGAAGATCATAAGAAGCATCAACATGAGGAGAATCTGACAAAAAAGTAAATGTTTGTTTTAAAACTAAAAATATGCTTTAAGTGTTAAATAGCGTAAAAAGAAAATTAAGATTTAGAAAAAAGTATTGAGTCTTATAGAAATCATGTGAAATCTCTTGAAGATGAAGATGAAATACTCATAGATGAATTGATCAAGTGAAATCTAATAAATGTGAAACATGTGACTTTCTAAGAAATAGAATTAAAGATTCTCATGAAACCTTGAATAAGTTCACTCGGAATAGAAATAACCTTGACATGATTTTATTTAATCAAAGAATGTCTTATAATAAATCATGCTTAGGTTATCATTCAAATAGTAATGCTAAATTCTTTATGAGTATATGTCATGCTAAAAATAAAAAGACTCATATTATTTATAAATGCAATGCTAAAAATAAAAAGACTCATATTATTCTTCTTCAACAAATGAGTTGGAATTCAGATAGAGGAAGCAAATTAACGTGAGAGAAGTGTTTTTTTCCTTCAAATTGTTCCATACATCAATCACATTTTCCATTAATACAATAGAATGAACAATCTATTCAGCAACAAAGTTCATTATCCTTGAGTATGCGAGCATATTGCAACACTTCTAAGCATAAATTTATGGACGAATGAATCAACAAGAACCATAACATAACCATCAATGGAATTGAATATCATTTTTTCACTCAAATCTCTATGTATAGGTCAATCCCAACTTTGGTAATTTGAACCGATAAGCACATGAGTGATTACAATTAAGGAAGGGTCATTTCTTAGATGGATGTAATAGGGACTATTAATCATGTGCTTTTGTAACTGCTAGATTTTTTACTATTTTATTTTATTGTTTCAGTTTTTTAGCAACCTAGTCAATTAGTGGTTGCTATAATTTAGGAGCAAGTCAGTAGTAGTTGCTATACTTTAGGAACAAATTAGTTTAATTATTCAATTCCCTAAAATCCTGGTTACGTGGGATAACTTTCAGTTTTTCCTTTCCATTATTTATTGTAACATTTCTATCGATCAAACATACAATTCCTTTCCTTTAATATACTGTTTCTCTACTTCTCTGGCACTATATTTGTTATTTTCTGCCATTAAACTAACAAATTGGTATCTAGAGCCTTCTTCAGAGGGACCTGTGAGTGAACCCAGTAAAAACCCACCATAATAAACCTTGCTTAAATTCATCAAATAGATGGATTCTGAAACTCCTTACACAAAATTAGCACCGCCTGTGTTTGACGGTGATAATTATCACATATGGACAGCAAGAATGGAGGCTCACCTAGAAGCAAATGACCTTTGAGAAGCCGTTGAGGAAGACTATGAAGTTCTTCCTTTGCCGGACAATCCAACCATGGCTCAGATAAGAAATCACAAGGAGAAGAAAGCAAGAAAGTCAAAAGTAAGAGCTACTCTGTTTGCTGCTGTCTCACAAGACATTTTCACCAGAATCATGACGATCAAATCGACATTTGAGATCTGGAATTTCCTCAAGGAAGAATATGAATGAGATGAAAGAATCAAGGGAATGCAAGCAATGAATCTGGTTAGAGAATTTGAGATGCAGAAAATGAAGGAGTCTGAAACAATTAAGGAGTATGCAAACAGACTTCTTAACATTGCTAACAAGGTGAGGTTATTAGGTTCTGATTTTTCTGATTCACGAATAGTTCAGAAAATACTAGTGACTGCTCCTGAAAAATTTGAAGCTTCTATTACTTCATTGGAAAATACTAAGGATCTTTCAAAGATCACATTGGCAGAACTTGTAAGTGCTATGCAGTCCCAAGAGCAGCGAAGGTTGATGAGACAAGATGGTGCAGTCGAAGGTGCTTTACGAGCCAAGCACCATAATGGAGAAACCAGTAGAAATAAGCATGTCAAGAAGAACCAGCCATCAAGCAGCGAAAATAGTGAAAATAACCAAAACAATGGTAGGGGTAAAAAGAAAAACTACCCACCTTGTCAACATTGCAGAAAGTTGGGTCACCCACCATACAAATGTTGGAAATGACCAGATGCGAAGTGTAGTAAATGCAATCAGCTTGGACATGAAGCTGTAATTTGTAGGAGAAAATTTCAGCAGCAAACTGAAGCTAATGC